CCCATTTCTTGATAGGTATAGGAAATTGTAACTTTAAACTAATTAAGTTACCCCCACAATTCCTAAATTAGGAATATATATGCAAGTCGTAATTTTACTATTACACCCATGTCTCGAACTTTTCATAAAAGTTATCAAATATTTACAATAACCCCTACATTTTTGGGTTATACTTGAACTTAGAGTTATCAACTCCTTCATAGTTCAATCCATTTATCACTTAGATAATATTTATATCAAGTGCTTCATGAAAGTCTAAGTACTTTCAAAATAGTGATCATCGAATCACGCAAATGAAAACTCATTTTCCATTAGAAGTTGTACTTCAGTCAGCTATAATAATTTGATCATTCAAGTTACATCAAGGTCGTCACATAGACTAGCAACGCTTTCAATGTATAAACCAAATTGGTTCCACACTTGAAGTAAAATTCAACAATAAAGAAGACTAATCATCTTCAAACATGTGCAACTTTTCATATTTGTGATATGTCACATAATAAGGTGTATATTCACCATATATAATAACGCAACCATAGGTTGACAAGTTGTGTTCTCAAAAGTCACAACCCTTCAAGAGGACACACCTCTTGGAATTAATTTCTATGAGGAGACATACTCCTTAGAAACTAACTACATCAAAAGTCATGATTTTCCATATGAAATGACACACATTCTGATCTAGAATATTTCATAATATTCTTTACAGATTTTATCATTTCCAAATGAATGTCATTCACAATCATTATTTCCAAAAATATTGATATCCGGCACCACTGCAAACTATAGGCACCGTTTGTGTTCTATAAGATAATTTCATATCCCAATGTCCAATTTCCACTTTAGGACAAAACCACGTTTTGTCACACTCTTTTGCAAATATAATTTTGCATAAGCCATCTCTAATTTCATCAAATTAATTGAGGCTCAACAAGATATGAAAGTTTTATATATTTTCACATTTATACATGTCCTTTTGGACACATTAATAGGCCAAGATAAGATTGCATTTCTACATTTGAAGTTCATAAACCAGTCAAAATGGCAAATTGACTTTGCAAAACATGTGGGGCTATCCAAGCATGATCGTGGTTTATTCAAAAGCAGGTGAGCCAGCCCATAAATTGAAATTATTTACCGAATAGTCACTAATGCCCACAAACCAATCGTTGGCATAGGCAATTACAATGATCAGATTTTATCATTTTCAACCACAACATCAATTGTTTCTCATCATAAAAGGATAAATTTCCTCCATGCACATGCATTTGTTCAAAATAAGCCAATTTATTGAACAAGCACTGATTCATTTATTGCCATCAACATAAAATGTATTCATAATCTTTGTGCAATAAGACACCCCATTTATGAACACCAATTCATAGATTTTGAATTGAAAAAGATATAATTTATAATAACATTCATTCCAAAGAAACGGACGGCCAATGGATGATTAGTTTTTCAACAGAAACTATTTCATTTTAACGAATTTACAAGATTTTCATTGCCAAACCATGCAAGTAACTGAGTTCCAATGTATGAAAGGATGCGTTTCTTTCATTTAATCGAATTTGGATATAATCGTCAATTAACTAAAGTATTGATACATGAGAAAATGCAGATTACAAGGCTAGCAAATTTTCAGATCCATATTCTGCCTTAAATGACACTCGAATTTGGAATTTCACAATTATCTCATATTCTTCACTAACTTTATTATTTGCTTCATGACATGATATTCAAGCAGTTTCTTTATTGATGACATGAGTTGACCAATAAACATTCAAAGAGAAGTTATTGGAACAAACATGTAGGCATCAAACTAGTCGGCTAATTCAAATTGCATTTAAAAATTGAAGAGTCGTTATTTAATGAAACGGCATCATGCACTTGTTCAAAATTACTACCAATTTTCATGGTTTTGACTAATTTTATGGAATAATTTCAGCCACATAATAATTCACAGATTCATTTCCAACCAATAGTAGTCATACCTTAAAGTGGCCTTATAGGCTTCAACCAATGCGTTCAGAAATATGTCAGAGAGAAAATGGCTTACTGATTTTCCAAAGTTAGATTCCAACAAGAATTAGAACATAAAGTGCACCGAACAGATTGATTTAAAACACCTAACAACCATCGAAAATTTTGTCTTAAGATTGTTGGATCCGACTTATTTGTGAGCAGTCAAGATGATTGTTTGTGAGTGCAAAGTTCAACCCGTAGGAACGTAGTTAAGCCACAATTTTTATGAAGTGGAAGTGTAGTACAAAACCACAAAACCAAGATGAAATAAGGAGTAGAAAAGGAAATTGGAGGCGAGTATAACTCTTTCTTTAAGACAAATTATCCCGCTACGGTGCTCACAGTTGATAACAGATGTCTCCTAAGACACAACGGATACACACTTGTGGTAGCAGCACTTCAAACCATAAGAACGACGAAACTTCAATGAAATTTTTCCTCTACAAAAGAATGTTATGAGAATGAGAGAAAGATGAATTGTAAAAGAAGAATTGATGCTCAATGCAATGGTGTACTCAAAATCACGTCCAAAATGTCCTATTTATAGATGTAAAAATGGTGCAAATGAAGTAGTGTGAGCCAAAACATGCATCCTTCAAAAAGTTGCAACACTTAGCCAAAACCTCATTTCGAAAAATTGCAACACTTCATTTCTTTCAATTTCGGACCGCAATTTCCCATTCATCCGGAATTGGTTTCGAGATTCCAAATATACTACGACGATATACTCGACGAGTAGAATAAGTTAGTTTATTTATTTTTGTAATTTAATCATCGAATCAAGTCTGAATATTTGGTCAAAGTTGACACGAAGTTACACGTTTTCATACTTAAGCAATTTTTTTTTCAATTAATTTCGGTTCATTTTTTAACCAATTCCAACATGCACAACTCCAAATGGTATTTTGGCATATTTTAGGCATGAATTGAGAACACTGGGACTATATATATACACACACACAGAAGGTTTCTCTGACAATCTGGGAGACAGGGATAAAAAATTAGACATACATTCAATTAAAATCTAGGGTTTGGGAGGAGACGAGGAGGAAGAAGAAAAATAGAAGTGAATGATTTTCAAGGTCAAGCCTGAATATTCAAGATCATTTATTCGGTTTTCAATTTTCCCAATCTGGGTGATGTCATTCAAATCTTATACGTACTTTTGTATTCAAACATGAGTAACTGAATTCTTAATTGCGAGGACTACTATGTACCCGTACTTTGAAGCTTTAATTTAAATATTTTGTTTTTGACTTAAGTATTGAGTTGTGATTGATTATTTGTTGTTGAATTTCTTCATTTCATTTTATCTAGCCAGTAATAGGAGTGACTAGGAACCATATTGATACGAGAGGTGAAATATGTGTTCTAGCTCAAGTCATAAATAATATAGATTTCGAATGGTGATAGGGATATATCGCTATGGGATGTTTGGTTTCAAAAATATCTTGCTAGTAAAATTGAACCTATTTTTACATACGAATTTTGCATATCAATATGATAGTTATTACTTTTTGCTTATTAGTAACTTTCATAAAGATATGCGAAATGCGTACGTAAAAACAGGTTCAATCCTACAACCGAGAGATTTTTGACATTTAGTCAACACAATTTAAATTTTAAATTACGTGAATATTTGAATTAATCCACAATTATTAGGTAAATGGTGGATTATAACCTAATAATTTCAGACTTTAAGCACTTATGATTTTTGGGTAGTTATTGTTGTAAGTACAAATACAAATAAGTATATTAATACCCTCTCTACAGTTTGAGCTTTAATGTGGCATATCATCATTTTATAGGAGGAGCAAATAAATATTTTGAGTTCAAGTCTCGTCGTCAATAATTTTCGAAAATCCGACATTTAAAAACTAAGGTGATTCATGAGATACTTGTTAAGTGCTTGTTTGTTCCCCATTATTTGTGAGTAATGTATTATGGAATAGTGATTGATGTTGAAATGTGTGGTTAAGAAAGAAGGAAATTTTTTTAATTTATGTGTAATATTATTTTAATGAAAAATGTGTGGTTGAAATGAGTACTGTAAAAGAAAAATAATGTGAAAAAATGGTAGACAAACAAAACCAAAATTAATAAGATCCTTGATAGTTGAACTTTTATATGCGTAGGTGATTTATTAGTTATTATACTAAAATAGTAAAATTTATAACATCTATCCGTGGATCTTAATTAGACCCTGAGTTATGCTCTTAATTTTATTACTTTCGTTTTCATTCTCTTTATCACAGAAATTCATCAATCTTCTTTTTATACGGTTCCAATAAGCTATCTATTTTTAAAATTTAAAAAATAAATAAATTTGACTTTCCAAATATTCAAATTCTCTCTTTCTTGTTTGGTGTAGATTAAAATTGAATTTTTAGTAAATTTTGATAAAAGTTAAAGAAACATATGATTGAAAAATATGTATTTGATAAAAATGTGTGGTTAATATTAATTATTGACTTTGAGTTTATTAAAACTTTAATTCAAACCAAAGGGGGCATAATACGTCTAATGCTTTCATAAAATATTTTGCAACTTTCTATTCACCCCTTGGTTTATAAAGAAACAAGCACTGATAATAATTAGTTAAAAGAGTCGGAAAGGAAAAAAAAAAATGAGAAAAGCACGGACTTGGATTCCTTCTCCTGCAGTTTTCTTCCTCTACTAAGGATTTCTATCATTGAAGAACCAGGAGTTTAGATTGGTTTCAAATCCAGCATTTTCGTTCTTTTTCATTTTTGTTGTTTTGGATTTTTATGTAGACATTCTATACGAGGACTATATAATTTCATCATGCTGCATGTATATATATTTATCCACCAAGAGTTCTTAAAGAAATTAAAATGCCAAGAGCACCAGCAGTAAGTGGAATTTTTTTAATTGCGAAAATTTTAATCCCTATCAAATAAGCTTGAGAGAGATATATTATGATTTTAGATTCTAATTAACAATATATTCGATAATAAAATGAAACATGGATACAATTTGGATAAGTATTATATGAAAATACAAGCTAATAGCAGCCCTCAGTTAAAATGACAGCCTCTGAAGATATAAAATCACTCACACAATTGAAAAACATTTTATTTATTTTTTTTCTTTCTTATTATTTGCTAAAAAGGGAACCAGAAGATACCAAAGCACATGATTGCAATAATCTTAAAAGAACAAACTCGTAGGACTGAGGACGGTAGTGTAAAAAACTAGGTTGTCTAGGCACATTTGAAGCCTGGTGGAACCTTCTTGGAGCAGACATTAAGAAGCAAGCTAAGGGAAAGAGGAACATTGAGGTTAATGCCCAAAACATTGGCTTTAATGGCAGTGCAAAGGCAGACCGCCGCCTCCAGGTCGGCTAGGCCTTGGATAAGGGAGCAGCATGGAGTTTTTGGTGGTGTCCCAATGGTAACACCAAGCAATCCACCTAGAAGATTAGCGCATACCCCTAATTTTAAGGCATCCATAGGGCAAGTGCCCTTTCCGGGGCTGGGGCTTGGCTTCGGGTTTGGTTTAGGATTTGGTTGGCAAGTGCCACATGCACTAGTAAGGGTGAAGAAGAGAAGATTTAGGACTAGAAAGAGGACAACTGATGTTTTACGATTGGAAGCCATTTCTGAAGCACCCTAAGCTTGACAACTTGTAGCTGCTGATTATGTTAAAGATTAAGTGATTAGGAATGGATGATTTAGTTGCAAGAAATAGGTTTTTATAGGAAAGAAAAGGGTTAAATTTTCAAATTGATGTTAACATACATAATAAAGTAGCTATGTGCGCCATAAGTATTTTATGAGGGAAGTGGCAAACTTTTGGATGCGCGTGAATTAAGATAAGTAAATTGCCATGTTCTTTGCTGAAGTCTAAATCCGTGGATTTTCAAACATATCATATTTAATAAAGTAATAAACTATATATAATAAATACAATTATTTGATTTATTTAACCCAGACATATTTACTTAAAACTTTTCCCTATAATGAGTCAATGAATTGTTGATTGCATTATTGAAAAAAAGAAAAAAAAAATCTGATAAGTGTAATTTGTACACTTATTTAGGACATATTACTAAATTTTTATGTCGTCAAATTATTAATCTCTACTTAAATTGGATTTTTTTTTTTTTTATGGACTCGTTTGAAGCAATTGGAAAGGAAAAAGGGATAAATTGGTTGTTGGATGAACATTTGGAGTTGTTTCCTTTTCTCTTGCAGTTGATCACTCGCGGCCATTTGTCCAATTGGCTTTATGAGAGTAAGGTCGTTTAGATTGTCAGCCATTCGATGTTACTATTTTTGTTTTTTGTTTTTTACGTATTCATTTAAAAGTACGTTCTACCTACGAATCAAACGCTTCTAGATCGTCGCCTTGGGCACAGAGCAAACAACGAACACATTTTTTTCTGAAAATAAAGAAAATAACGAATCAAATAACAGTTAAAAAAATAAAAATAAGTTAAGAGTAAAAGTAATAGTCCCTGACAATGGTGCCAAAAAATTGTTATGGACTGTAACAAGTAATAGTGGACCTAAGAGTCCAGATTGTCGATCCCACAAGAACTATATTCTAGCACTTAATTTAATTTTTCTTTAACCACTATTTGATTTGAATAAATAAAAAGTTGCAGGATATGGGTTTTAATCTAAATTCTAGAAAATAAATGGATTCACACACGATTGGTTAGAAGATCAAATAATGAATGGACATTAGGATAAAATAACTTCACCTATTGATCATCTTTACATCTTAAATTAAGATTCACATCTAGTATAGTGTTTGGTTGAATTCTTTTATTATATTCAATTTACCTCTCTTGATTTCTCAATGAGACTATTTAACTAATTAAATTTCATGTCTCTATGCAAATTCAACCTAGTTAAATGAATTCTGTCCTAGAAATTTAATTATGACCGCAACAATTAGTATAGGCGTCTCTACTCATCACACCAATTTACCGAATTTTACTACATAATCTAAATCCTAAACTCATATCTCTATTCGTAAAGGATTTATGAAATCATCAAGTCATTAATCAGGTAATTTAATGCATCCAATTTATAGTAAAACCAACACATGGAACAATAAAAATCAAGAATCTTATTAAGAAAATATGAAGGATCTCAATTGGTTACATTATTTGCTCTAACAATGAGCTTAACTATTCATAATATAAAGGGAAAAACCATTAATCGTCATAGAATAAATTACCGGATTTTGTGTTAAAGATGTAGAAGAAAAAGTAGATTTTGCACCAAGAATCTCTTCCTCTTTCAGTTGATGCTCCACACAGTGAATTTCTCGTTGTTTTTCTCCCTTGAAACCTTCATTTGATTTTCCAATGGTGTTTTTCTTCCTCTCAATGTGTGTATCCCCTCAAGTCTCAAAAAAATTGCTTTTAGGTGCGCCTTGCCATGTGTAGAAGGTAGGGTTTTAATCTAAACTCTCAAATGGAGTGAAATTATGCTTGGGTTATGGATTGACGGTGCCTGGAACGCTGGACCGTGTCACATGTACTGGGTGGTGTCGCGGTTCAGTTGGAGTAGGGCGTCGCAACACCCTATATATGGTGTCATGGCGCCCACAAGTTTTTTTTTCCCTTGCTTTTGGTACTTTGGTGCCACTTGTCCAACACCTTTGCTTTGCCTATTTTGTCCCTGTTTCCACAACTTCTTTTTCATCCATGCCACTAACTTTAATTAATGATCTTTCTCCGTATCCTTCACCATCTCGATAAACCTATAAAACAACATTAACAAATACATTAAAAAAAGTTCCATACTCAAAAAATATAGCTTACAATCAAGTTAAAATTGGCTTAAACTCGTGAGTAAACACACTTTTTTTTCCCTTGCTTTTGGTACTTTGGTGCCACTTGTCCAACACCTTTGCTTTGCCTATTTTGTCCCTGTTTCCACAACTTCTTTTTCATCCATGCCACTAACTTTAATTAATGATCTTTCTCCGTATCCTTCACCATCTCGATAAACCTATAAAACAACATTAACAAATACATTAAAAAAAGTTCCATACTCAAAAAATATAGCTTACAATCAAGTTAAAATTGGCTTAAACTCGTGAGTAAACACACTCGTCAAAGCTTATCAAATTTGGAGTCAAAAAGCTTATCAAATTTGGAGTCAAATGCATTTTGTAGATGTCAATTTAGAATTTATTATTATAATTATTATTTTTTTTTTTAACAAAAATATTATGCACGTTTCCGTTTGACTGCCAGATTATTTTGCCAATTTTGTTGGGAGGAGGAGAAGAATAGAAGTCAATGAATTTCTAGTTCAAGCTTGAATATTCAAGATCATTTAATCGTTTTCTTCAATTTTTCCAATCTGGTTGATGTCATTCAAATCTTATATGTACTTTTATATTCCAACATAAGTAACTAAATCTTTATTGCTAGGACTACGATGTACCCGTACTCGGAAGTTTTAGTTTAAATATTTCATTTTTGACTTAAGTATTGAGTTGTAATTGATTATTCGTTGTTGAATTTCTTCATTTCATTGTATCTGGCCAATAATTGGAGGGAGTTAGGGATCAATTGATACGAGAGGCGAAATACACATTCTAGCTCAAATAATAAATAATACAGATTTCGAGTGACGATAGGGATATATTGCTATGGGATGTTTGGTTTCGAAAATCCCTCTCTATTAGAATTGAACCTACATATATACAAACTTCATATAATTTCTATATGTGATAGTTATTAATAAGTAAAAATGCTTTTATCTTATTAGTAACTTTCAAAGATATATACGAAGTACGTTCATAAAAATAAGTTCAATTCTACTAGCGAGAGATTTTTGAAATTTATGGACATCGGTTGTCAACCCTATTTAACCCTATTTAAATTGTAAATTACGTGAATATTTGAATTTAACTGGATATACATTTGTGAATTTGAAGTCCTAATGCTTATCATCATTTTATAGGAGGAGCAAACAAGTAATTTGAGTTCAAGTCTCGTCACCATTAACTTTTGAAAACCCAAAATGTAAGTTCTTTGAAAAAAATTCCAAACTATGGTGATTTGTGAGATACGTTTTAAATTAATATGATCTTCGATAGTTAAACTTTTAAATGCGTAGGTGATTTCTTAGTTATTATTCTAAAATAGTAAAATTTCTAACATCTACCCATGGATCTTAATTAGAGTACCATTCGTGTTTCCTAAATATTGGTGAGTTGTGCCCATAATTTTCTGGTTTTTGGTCGGTTTTACTACATTAGAGCATTTCTATTACGCTCTACATGGCCCCAGTTTGGAGTAGATTCAAATCAAATTTTTAGTAAATTCTGATAAATTTGAAATGTATAGTTGAAAATTTGTGTGCACAGACTTGGATTCCTTCTCCTGCAGTTTTCTCTTCCTCTGCTAAAGATTTCCTATCAGTGAAGAACTAGGAGTTTAGACTAAATCTAATAGTCGAATAACAGGGAGTTTAGACTGTTTTTGAAGCCAGCATTTTTGTTCTTTTTCCTTTTTGTGGTTTTGGATTTTTATGTAGATAAATACCAGAGAGGGGGGAAATAATGTTTGAGGACTGCGATCCCCACATTCGAGCCTTCAAAGTTGTTATTGATTATATTTGTGATTTCTTCATCTCATTGCTGCAATTCTTGCGCCATCCTTTTTTGTCTCTTCTTCATCATTTCATTATTTTCTTACACTATCAAATAAGCTTGAGAGCGATATATTATGATTTTACATTCTGAGTAATAATATATTCAATAAGTATTATATGAAAATATTGTTGAATTTAATTATAATTATGCTAAGAATCGATAATCACAAAATAATAAATTAATAAAACGAATTCATACTTGCGGAAGCAATTGTTGATATGAATAATAGTTGTAATAGTAACTAGATCTTCCCCTCCTTGCGCCTCACAAAGTATTAGCCGTCAATGGGGTAAGCTAATAAACCAATATGGGGAGAAGAGAGAATCTAGCCTTTATATAGGAAACAATTGAGCCGTTCTTTTACAACTAGAACTCTAATTTGGGTTTATTTTCGACCCACATACCACATCATATTAATTACAACTCGTAAGGTGTAAAAGGCCCAATTGATCACTTAATAAATTTGGCACAATCACAAGTATCATTATGAGTCATACATCTAACCCGTAAAATTTACAATCGAATGTGAAGCCTACATTTGAAATTATTTCATCATTCTCCCACTTGGGCAAACATTTGATTGCTATAACAAAATTTTTAACACCCGAGTTAGACTACCTAGGTGGCCACAAAAGTATAGCTCCAATGATGACACCTTACGCAATATGATCTGGTCCAACAAAAATATTAACACTAAACATGGAAGTCATTACACCAATTAAGTAATGTAAGACCATTCCAAAGCTACAAATGACAACATTCTTATCGACATAGATCCCCATTCTCCAACCAATGTGATAGTGTTTGGTATGAACTTAGCACCGAATGTAATCAAAATTGTGCTAAATCATATCGATCCTCATAATGCTTCAGATCAAAATGAAGCCGCATGTCTCTAAAAGAAACTCATCTTATGTTTTTATCTGTCATATATCGAGATCACAATAATATCATTGAATTTAATTATAATTATGCTAAGAATCGATAATCACAAAATAATAAATTAATAAAACGAATTCATACTTGCGGAAGCAATTGTTGATA